TATATATATATATATATATATATATATATATATATATATATATATACTTGCTGTTAATATTGTTTGCCCCATTCCTTCATAATGAATAAACTAGTACACGAGTTTATTATTATTGTACCTGTAACCAACAATGGTTGTGAATATTTTCTCAGTCCAAGTGGCGTTTCTTTATTTCTTGTTTTTCTCGTGGTTTATTTTTACAGATCAGTTGGGCATGGATTCGTCCTCTCCACCGCGCGATCGGACTACTCTCATACGCCGACAACCAAATCCGACATAGAAGCAGATCAGGAAGATTTACCGGAATTCGGCAACAATCTTTCCTCGTTGACCACAAAAAGTTCACCCTTCTTTACCCTCGGTACTCAGGTGACAGATGTGAGTACACCCACTCAGGACCGAACCGGTGGTCGTATGACTGGTCGTCTCGGGTCTTCCACAGACTTGACCTACCAGCAGTCGGAATTAATGGATCGGTCTCTGAATAACAGTACTGCAAGTAATGCAGCACATGGAACTAGTTTACTAGACAGTCGTTTCCCAAACGATTCCTGTCCAATGAATTGGTCCACCGTGTCCGGTTTACGTGAACGCCGTGTGCGAACCTCGCGTCGTCCGGCCCGAGATACTCTGTTAGACGAACTGATCCCGGATGCGCTTCGAACAACCGACCCAGTGACATTTGACGAGACCGCTTCAAGCGGACCGGGGAGCACGACAGATGGAATTTTCGATTCAGGTACCGTGGGATTTGTGCAAGATATGAAATTGGACAATCCGGATGAGGGTCTGGAAGAGGACGAGGATGAGAAACGATACTGCTGGTGTCATAATGTCAGCTACGGCGATATGATCGCGTGTGACGCGCCCAACTGTCCCTACGAGTGGTTCCACTACGGATGCGTTAATCTGACCGTGGCTCCTAAGGGCAGCTGGTATTGCCCCAGTTGTGTCAAATCACAATCCGGCATAAAAGGGTTCAAGAAACGCGTATCTCGAAAGTGATATTTCTATCAGCCGCGTACACCACACGTGAGCGCAACACTCTCTATTTACTGCCAAATTCTCCTGCAACCAAAAGATCTTGTACATTTCTCACCCCCACCCCATATGTCCGTTCCTGTCTTGTTGTGGATCGCTCCATGTGTATGTGTATTATCAGGATAATGACCTCAAGCATTTCTTCTTCTCCCCGGTTTAGTGATATTTCATCGTTTCCAGTCACTTCAGCCCGACCGAATACAATACAAATTGCCTATACGCATGAAACGTTTGTTCAACTTATGGGCTGTTGTAGGGAATGGGAATTGGGGGTGGGGGTGGGGGTGGAGAGGGACTTGGATTCAAATTCATTCAAACTAATTACGATAGAAATATCTATGAGAACCCATTTG